TGTATCCTGCAACTTTACTGAATTTTTTTTTTTTTTATCAGTTCTAGAAGTCTTTGGTGGAGTCTTTGGGATTTTCCAAATATAAGATTATATCGCCTGGAAACAAGTATAATTTGACTTCTTTCTTTCCCTTTATATATTTCTCTTGTCTGACTGCTCTGGCTAGGACTTCCAGTACTATTTTCAATAACAGTGAGCAGATATTATGTTCCAGATTTTAGAGGAAAGGCTTTCAGTCTTTTTCCCCATTCAGTATGATGCTAGCTGTGGATATATCATATATGGCATTTATTATGTTGGGGTATGTTCCTTCTCTTCCCAGGTTTTTGAGGGTTTTTATCATGAAGGGGTGTTGAATTTTATCAAATGCTTTTTCAGCATTAATTGAAGTGATCATATGATTTTTGTCTTTCACTCAGTTGATATGATGTATAACATTGATTTGCGTATGTTGAACCATCCTTGTATCCCAGGGATAAACCCCACTTGGTCATGATGAATGATCTTTTTAATGTATTGTTGAATTAGGTTTGCTAATATATTGTTGAGGATTTTTGCATCAGGGATATTGGCCTGTAATTTTCTTACTTTGATATGTCTTTGTTTGGTTTTGGTATCAGGGTAATACTGGTCTCGTAGAATGTGTCTGGAAGTATTCCCTTCTCCTGCATTTGCCAGGACAGTTTGAGTATACTTGGTATTGGTTCTTTAAGTGATTGATGGAATTCAGTGGTGAAGCCATTGGTCCCAGGCTTTTCTTTACTGGGAGGCTTTTTATTACAGCTTTGATCTCATTAATTGCTACTGGTCTGTTCAAGTTTTGGATTTCTTCCTGGTTCAGTCTTGGTAGGTTGTATGTGTCTAAGAGTTTATCCATTTCTTCTAGATTTTCCAATTTATTGGCAGATAGCTGCTCGTGGCCACTAATTGTCATTTGAATTTCTGCGGTTTCAGTTGTAATGTCTCCTTTCTCATCTCTAATTTTATTTGGAGCTCCCCTCTTTTTTTCTTAGCTAGTCTTGCTAAAGGTTTGTCTTTTTCATTTAACTTTTCAAAAAACAAACTTTTTGCTTCATTGATCTATATATTTTTTTATTTGTTTCATTTATTTCTGCTCTGATCTTTATTATTTCCTTTCTTCCACTAATTTTGGAATTGGCTTGCTCTTGTTTTTCTAGTTCTTTAAGATACATTGTTAGGTTGCTTATTTGAAGTTTTTTGTTTTTTTTGATGTAGGAACTTATAGCTATAAACTTCCCTCTTAGCACTGCTTTTGCTCTATTCCATAGGTTTTGCTATGTTGTGTTTCCATTATCACTTGTTTCAGTAAATTTTTCAGTTTCCTTCTTAAATTATTCATTGACCCACTGGTCACTCAGGAGCATATCATTTAATTTCCGTGTATTTGTACAGTTTCAAAAATTCCTCTCATTGATTTCTGGTTTTATTCCATTGTGGTCAGAGAAGATGCTTGATATTTTAGTTTTATGAATGTTTTAAGACTTGATTTGTAACCTAACTTGTGGTCTGTCCTTGAGAATGACCCATGTGCTGAGGAAAAGAATGTGTATCCTAAAGCTCTTGAATAAAATGTAAATATCTATTAGATCCATTTGGTCTCTAGTACAGATTAAGCCTGACGTTTCTTTGTTGATTTTCTGTCTGGAAGATTTGTCCAGTGCTGACAGTGGGGTGTTGAAGTCTTCAGCTATTATTGTATTGGGGCCTATCTCTCTCTTTAGCTTTAACAGTATTTGCTTTATTAAAGCAATATATATATATACACACACACACACACACATATATATATACACACACACACACACATATATATATATATATATATATCCTCTTGCTGAATTTACCCCTTTATCATTTTACAATCTGATATAGAGGAGACTCAACTTAAGGTGTTGGCTATAGAGATGGAAAAGGGTGGCAGACCACTCTGGCTTCTTCCTGCTGACAGGGGACATAGTTGCAGGGGTTGGTCCCAGGGAAATAGGAGTGAAACCATTGCTTTCCAGCTATCTGCATGTACTTACGTATGTATAACAAATGTGTTAACATTCTCACCCACAGTTCCTTAGAACCAAGGAAGCTGATGGTGCAATTGTCAGCCTGGGTTATGAGGCCTGAGAGCCTGGGGGCTGCTGGAGTCCAAAAGTCAGGGAACTGTAACCACCTGAAGTGGTTCTTCCTGCCCACAGCATAAAGAAAAACCCACACACTTAAGTTGTTAGTGCAGCACTTAAATGAACAGTAGACTATAGGTCATCAGAAAAGACAGATTGGGATAAACAAGGAAGAGCAAATATAGATATACTGTCTCATATCTTTTCAATCAGTGTCCTAGTCCTGAAACTAGATCAGTTCATTTAACAGCTGTTTCCCCTAACAGGAGTTGGCATTGCAGATAGGCTAGGCCTCTGCATATCATGAGGGCAAACAGATTTTTAATGAAAGGCATTTCCATAGAGACAGAAGAAAAACAAAGGTTAACATTGGCACAATTTATCCAGACATTAGACTCAAAGAATCTTTGGTTATAGAAGAGGAAGTTGGTAGCAATCTGACATATTTTTCTCTCGCCTGTATTACAAGGAATAAGCTTTAGCTTTGCAGGGCCCCAGGAAAGTGGTAGTAGCAATTTGATTGAGTCCAAGTCAGAAATACAAAAGAAAAAATTGAAAGCATTAGTTTGGGGACCTGTAGCCTGGAAAAATTCCAGGATTTAGTCCACATTGCAGAGAATAATAAAAACTTAAAAACAGTGGACAAGACTAGAATCTAACAGTGGGTGTACTATAGATTTTTTCTGAAACATGTTTTTCTCTTTCCAGATCCCGTTTTTACTAAAGACAAATCATAGTAGGACAAATTTATTTGCAAAATAAATGTTAGTCTTATTATACTTGGCCTGAGTGTTTACATAAAGTTAGCATGAATAATTATTTTCTGACTGGGTGCGGTGGCTCACACTTTTAATCCCAGCACTTTGGGGGACCAAGGCAGGTGGATCACTTGAGGTCAGGAGTTTGAGACCAGCCTGGCCAACATGGCAAAACCCTGTCTCTACTAAAAATACAAAAATTAGTTGGGTGTGACAGTGGGTGCCTGTAATTCCAGCTAGTCGGGAGGCTGAGGTCAGAGAATTGCTTGAACCCAGGAGGCTGAGGTTACAGTGAGCCAAGATCACACCACTGCACTCCCGCCTGGGTGATGGAGCAAGACTCCATCTCCAAAAAAAAAAAAGAATAATTATTTTTCCATATAGGCCCTTTTAAAAATTGGCTTTGCTCAAATTTTATTCCAAAAGGAATCTCAGGTTGGACTTTTTAAAAAGTCTTGAGCCCAACCAATATCTGGGTGCAAATACTGTATTAAGTGGGTGAATTCCTCACCTTGAGATCCCAGGATAACTTGGGACTTCTTGGGCCTGTCAGAAAGTGACATTCGTTACTTACCACAGGTCAGGAATCCTGTACAGGTGGTGTGTTGGCTCTATAAGTCAACTTTGATTCCTTAAAGCAGTCTGTTTATATTTGAAAATATGCCATTCTGGGCCAGGAACAGTGGCTCACTTTGGGAGCACTTTGGGAGGCCGAGGCAGGTGGATCACCTGAGGCTGGGAGTTCAAGACCAGACCAACATGGAGAAACCCCATCTCTAGTAAAAATACAAAGTTAGCTGGGCATGGAGGCACATGCCTGTAATCCCAGCTACTCGGGAGGCTGAGGGAGAAGAATCATTTGAATCTGGGAGACGGAGGTTACGATGAGCTGAGATTGTGCCATTGCACTCCAGCCTGGGCAACAAGAGTGAAACTCTGTCTCAAAAAAAAAAAGAAAGTATGCCATTTCAGTCAAAGCCCTTGGTAAAATAACTAGCAATTCCAATCATGTTCTGTTACAAAAGAAAACAGATTCTTGTTGCACTTATGCAAAAAATCTATATAGCCATAAGTTCAGAATACTCACAAAGAGTTTCTAAATTATGGAGAAATCAGGTAGAGAGAAAGCAACATGCTCCAAATTTTGTTCACAGGATTATACTCAATTGCTAAAAGTTGTAAATAGCTCAAAAGAAAAAAAAGGTTTTCTTGATTTTGAAAAACAAAAGCAATGCTTCAAACAAAGAGCCATAAAAAGATTATTTCAGTCTTCCATTAGTTCAGTCTATGTGATTAACTCCTGTTCTGCTCAATGTTCATGAACACATTAGCTCTCTATGGGAGTCTTGGAAGTTTTTCCTCTATTTTAATGTCACAGTCTCCAAAGTTATCAGAAATCTGCACTCAAGAGCATCTATCAGATTCCTGTAGCTGATTATAAAACCACTTTGAAAATAAAGTAAAACCATTGTGGAGGACAGAAGTTTCAGAATAACCATGGTAAAGATCTAGTCATCTGTGTGGCACACAATAATTTAACATAACAATCAATTATTACTGTTAACATATACTGAAACATATCAGAATCACAGGAATTTTATATAATTCTGGAACACAACAATAATGCATTCATACAAATATAGTATAAAGAAAGGCAAACACCATTTCATACTTAACAATGCTTCTGGTATGATTTTAATATACCAAATAAGCAAAATACGTCTCTTTTGGACTTTAGAGTATTTAATATCTGAAAGGTTAATAAGATTAAAAAAAGACAATTTAGATTTTGACTTTAAAAAGTTTGTCAAATATTGGCTTGGTGTGGTGGCTCATGCTTCAAATCTGAGCACTTTGGGAGGCCAAGGCAGGCAGACCACCAGAGGTCAGGAGTTTGAGACAAACCTGCCCAACATGGTGAAACCCTGTCTGTACTAAAAATACAAAAAAAAAAAAAAAAAATTAGCTAGGTGTGGTGGTGGACACCTGGAGTCCCAGCTACTCAGGAGGCTGAGACAGGGAAATCACTTGAACCCAGAGGTGGAGGTTTCAGTGAGCCGAGATCACACCACTGCACTCCAGCCTGGGTGACAAAGCAAGACACGGTCTCAAAAAAACAAAACCCAAAAACAACAAAAAAAAGAAGTTTGTAAAATATCAAAGGTTTAAAAGCTTGATATTACAAAATAAGATCCCAGGTCATTATAAGTTATTTATTTAGCCAAAATGATACTCACTGATAGGGAGGAGACTCAACTTTTCAAACAGGATTCCATAAAGACAGCATGAGACCAACTGAATCTGTTTTTCTCCCCTGCTTTTGTCATTTATTCAAAAGGCAAACAAAAATCTTTCATTATCTTTTAATATTACACTAAAATCTTATTTAAAAGAGAAAGTCAAATTTAACCTTTTCATTAGTGTAAGTAAGCCCAATTCTTAATAAAACCTTATAAACAGGTCTATACAATCTTAAATTAGTTTGACCATAAGGTAAAATTTTTGTAAACCTCTTTAACTCTTTACAATTTTCTGTTAAACAGATCAAATGTCTAAGAAAATTCTGTTATTCAGACACATGGGTCCAAATTCCAGCCCTGAATTAGTGTGATTTTATTTTAATGTTCCACCTATGAAAAAACTAAATAATTCCCTTCAAATCTTAGCCAACTTGTTCATAACCACAGAACTTTCTTTAAAATATCAACCCTTTTCAACTTGCGTAAACCTTCAATTTTGTCCTATTACTCTTTTTGGTTAAGACAAGCCTTAAAACCCTCCGAACTGACAATATTACATTCCCTTTAACAAAAGCCATATTCCTATGCCTTCTTATAACTTCTGACCAAAACCACATTTACTTTCCTTCTATATCGTGCGTGCAAAACTGTTTCCAGTAGTCTCAAGTACATTTTACACTGTTAACTCTTAACAACTTTCATTTTTGGTGAAAAACCTAGTAAGCAAGCAATTTTAACCATGTATATGACTGCAGAGTCCAGGACAAGGACAGAGCTAAAGATAATGTCTGAGTCTTCCCAGCCTACCCAGGGGACCTTGCTAACTCCCTATGTCCCAAGCCTTACCTAGAATCTAATGGCTGTAAAACAGGTATATTAGTCCATTTTGATGCTGCTGATATAGACATATCTGAGATTGGGAAGAAAAGTAAGTTTAATGGACTTACAGTTCCACATGGCTGGGGAGGCCTCACAATGCATGGTGGAAGGCAAGGGGGAGGAAGTCAGGTCTTACCTGGATGGCAGGAGGCAAAGAGAGATAGCTTGTGTAGCTATCTCATTTTTCAAACCATCGGATCTCGTGAGACTTATTCACTATCACGAGAACAGCATAGGAAAGACCTGCCACCATGATTCAGTTGCCTCCCACTGAGTGCCTCCCACGACACTTGGGAATCATGGGAGTTACAATTCAAAAAGAGATTTGGGTAGGGACACAGCCAAATCATATCAACAGACAAGTCAAACAATTATTAAAAAATCACAGAAACAGTTTATGACCTTACAGCACCTAGCAAAGAGTATCTAACCTGCCTACTTTAGACCAAATGTCTAAACTTTGAAGACATTTTTTTATTTTACCAATAATTTTTAAACTGTCTTTATTTTTCAAAGAATATCCGAGTAATGTGACCTAAAGGCATTTAAGTTTCTATTTTTCTGACAGTGTTTGATTTAATAGCTTATTTTCCTTTAAGCCAATTAATTAGACTGAGAAGTGTTTAGACTGAGAGCAAGGGCTTTGAAACAATATTTGTTCAAAAGCCTGTTAAAATCTAGATGGTAATTTGTAAGGCTTTTACCATATAAGCAAAAGGTATTTCCAGACAGGGTGTAGAGGAGACATCTCCATGATCCCCAAGAATTTACTGTCAGAAAGAGCCTTAAGAGAGCAAAAGATGACAAAAGCCCCATAGGGATGACCTTTTAAGACAAAACTCACGCAAAGCCTTGACACATTTGGGATAAAGAGTTTGCTGACTCATTTTAGACTCCTGGTCCTCTCAGACTGGCTGCCTGACATAAACTCAAAAATTCTTGCACTTCAGATGGTGGATACCAAGAGAGTACCTTATATGGTCATAAAGCCACGCTCTCAAGGACGTAAAACAAGAAGGAACTCCCATCCGGTTTTTGCTCCAGGGACCCACAGTAAGGTTTGTAACTAACCAGTATGCTGGGCTGGCCTGAGCAAGTGGGCTTATGAGGTCCTAAGCCCACATTCTGCCCTGCAGTACCACTCTTTATGACAGAACAACATAGAAAGACAAATTCATAACCAGATTTGCTACAGCCTCAGACTAGCCTCACAAATCCTTTTTCTCATTAACAAAGTGATTTCTACTATTCACTCAACCAGTTTGCACACAGAGAAAGGCCAGAAGCCTGACTGTTGAGAATTTCTCACCCTTTTGCAGGCATGCTAGGTGATATGGTTTGGCTGTGTCTCCACCCAAAATCTCATGTTAAGTTGTGATTCTCAGTGTTGGAGGAGGGGCCGGGTGGAAGGTGATTGAATCCTAAGGGTGGACTTCACTCTTGCTGTTCTTGTGATAGAATTATCATGAGACCCGTCTCATTGAAAGTGTGTAGCATTTCCCCTTTCGCTCTCTCTTTTCCCTGCCAGCCATGTGAAGATGTACCTTCTTCCCCTTTGCCTTCCGTCATGATTGTAAGTTTCCTGAGACCTCCCCAGAAGCAGAATCCTGTATGGCATGAAGAACCATGAGCCAATTAAACCTCTTTTCTTTATTAATTACCCAGTTTCAGGTCTTTCTTTCTCTCTTTCTCTCCCTTTCTTTCTTTTCTTTTCTTTCTCTTTCTCTCTCTTTCTTTCTTTCTCTTTCTTTTTCTTTATCTTTTTCTCCCTTCCTTCCTTCCTTTCTCTCTCCCTTTCTTTCTTTCTTTCTTTCTTTCTTTCTTTCTTTCTTTCTTTCTTTCTTTCTTTCCTCCTTTCTTTCTTTTTCTTTTTTCCTTCCTTCCTTCTTTTCTTTTCTTTTCTTTTCTTTTCGAGATGGAGTCTCACTCTGTCACCTAGGCTGGAGTGCAGTGGTGCAATCTCGGCTCTCTACAACCTCTGCCTCCTGGGTTTAAGCGATTCTGATGCCTCAGCCTATCAAGTAGCTGAGATTACAGGCACACACCACCATGCCTGGCTAATTTTTGTATTTTCAGTAGACAGGGGTTTCACCATGTTGGCCAGGCTGGTTTCAAACTCCTGAACTCAAGTGATCTACCTGCCTTGGCTTCCCAAAATGCTGAGATTACAGGTGTAAGCCACTGCACCCAGCCAGGTATTTCTTTACAGCAGTGTGAGAATGGACAAATACACCAGGCTTCTGGGTTCCCTTTTCCTGAGCAGCCCTGGTGGCCCTGCTTGCTGCAACATAGTCACCAAGAAAATCATCTTTATTCATTTCATGGGACCATAGCCAAGAGCCTCTCAATTTTGCAAGATGCCCCCCAATGGGCTGCATGTGGGAACCAAATTGGGGGAACTGAATTAACATTTTCCATCCCAGCTGATACAAAACACATGTAACAAAACAGACACTAGTCACTTCACTCTGCACCCAATACTAACCTAACAAGGCTGAAACTTGCCCCCATTGGTCCCTGTCATCTCTTACCCACTCAAGTTGGGGATAGATGACCTCTGACCAGGAGGTCACCCAGGAATTCAATGAGTGGTCTCTGGGCCAGATGGAAGAGCAGATATGGTCACCCCGAGTCAGAACTGTTAAGTTTCTGCTAACATTCCTTCAGGGCTCACTGAATATGACCAGACAAATAAGGAAGATTCTTTGAGTTAGGCCTGCTGTGCTTCCATCAGCAATTCCTTGAGAGATGCCTTCCACATGCACAAACACACACAACAAAGACAAGATGGACAGAAGGCTTTCCAAATCGATTCCAGAGTAGAAGAGCATTCCTCCAAACAGTCCACTATTTTTTGTCCTATTGGGGAGCAATTTCCCCAATCTGACTATCCCCATGATGGGGCCAGTCCCTGTGACAGGGCTATAGTGCCTCTTAGAGAGGGCTATAGATCAGGAAAAGGGTGGCGTTGGGGGGCTGTTGGCAGCACCTAGAATGCTCACCAGACAGGTTCCAGACTGTTTCTCCACTGAAATTAGATCCAGGCACTAAGAGTCGACGGTACCTTATCAGCAGAGACAGGATCAGAGATGGCCTTCAGTTAAATAAGTGGCTACAAGAACTCACCTCCAGGTTTGTTGAACTGGAGGGGACTGATGAACCACAGGCAGGGGATTACAGACAATCCCCCAAATTTATAACCACTTGAGGGGTTCTTCCTGCTAGCTACATACAGAAAAACCACGGCATTGTAGTAGAGAAAGAGTTTAATAGACATGAGGCTGGCCACACCTCATGGGAGATGGAGTACATACTCAAATCTCATCCAAAGCTCATAGTTAGGGGTTTTTCAAAGGCAATTTGGGGGAAGGGGTGGGGGTGTCCAGGTAACAGGTGCTTGCTACTGATGGGTTGGGATGGAGATGAGATCATAGGGTGTTGAAGCTGTGCTCTTGTGGGCTGTCCTTCTGGGTGGGGCCACAGGGGCAGTGTTGGCAGGTTCAGGTGCAGCCATGGGTGTCAGACATGCAAAAAACCTGAAAAGATATCTCAAAGGCCAATCTACAATAGTGGTATCTTCAGGAGGAACTGGGGAAGTTGCATATCTTATAACCTCTGGAGTAATGGCTGACAATCTTTTGTGTCTTAGCCTTAGCAGTACTCAGGCTCCTTTCCTCCCCGCAGCCTGATGGCCTCCCATTGGCTTTACAAAAGCAGTTAAGTTTCAAACAAGGCCTATTATCATTTAAACTATAGCCTAAATGTCTCTCAAAGTTAGCTCAGCCCAATAGTTCAGGAATAATTAAGGGAAAGGTAAGGTAGGGTGTGTGTGTGTGTGTGTGTGTGGGGTGGTGGGGTGGTTAGCTCAGACCTCTTTCACTGTCATACTTTTCTTGCTGATACAAGTTTTGCAAAGGCAGTTTTAGAACCTGGAGTTCTGATGTCCAAGGGCAGGAGAAGAAGAGTGTCTAGCCTCTGGGAGAGAGAGGGTGAGAATTTCCCCTTCCTTTGAGTTTTTGTCTCACTGGGCCCCCAGCCAATTGGTTCCTGAACACATTGAGGGCTCACTGGCATGCCAATCTCCTCTGGAAACATGTTCAAGACAAACCTGGGGTGGTTCAATCATTCTAATCAAAAGCAAAACCATCCGGGTTTTCTTTCAGCAGAGGAAGGACAAGCTCAGTGCCTACTGAAGCATTGAGAGTAAGTATTATTTAGGAATAATTTATTTTTACATTCAATTTCTTTTGTATTTAATAATTTACCAGCTATCTGAGTATCCCTTAATATAGTCGATTTGACACCCCGAGTCAACAATCATATATGTCTTCTTTGGAGCAACGTTTTTTTTTCAGATCCTTTGCTCATTTTTAAATTGGGTTATTAAAATTCTTTTTAAATTTTAAATGTTAATGTTTGTGGGTACATAGTAGGTATATATATTTATGGGGTACAAGAGATATTCTGATACAGGCATGCAATGTGTAATAATCACATCATGTAAAAATGGAGGATCAATCTCCTCACACATTTATCCTTTGTGTTACAAACAATCCAACTATAGCCTTTTAGTTTTTTAAAAAATGTGCAACTAAATTATTATTGACTATAGTCACTCTGTTGTGTTATCAATACTAGTCCTTATTCATTTTTTGTATTTTGATGTATCCATTAATCATCTCCACCTCTCCCATGGAGCTGGGGGTGTCAGGCCTCTAAGCCCAAGCTAAGCCATCATATCCCCTGTGATCTGCAGTATACATTCAGATCACCTGAAGCAACTGAAGATCCATAAAAGAAGTGAAAATAGCCTTAACTGATGACATTCCACCATTGTAATTTGTTTCTGCCCCACCCTAACTGATCAATGTACTTTGTAATCTCCCCCACCCTTAAGAAGGTTCTTTGTAATTCTCCCCACCCTTGAGAATGTACTTTGTGAGATCCACCCGCTGCCTGCAAAACATTGTTCCTAACTCCACCGCCCATCCCAAAATCTATAAGAACTCATGATAATCCCATCACCCTTTGCTGACTCTCTTTTCGGACTCAGCCTGCCTGCACCCAGATGAAATAAACAGCCTTGTTGTTCACACAAAGCCTGTTTGATGGTCTCTTCACACGGACACGTGAGAC